CCAATTGCTCCACTACTACACACAAAGATGAGTCTGCAAAGAAAGTTGGGGATATATGTTAGTATCCCAAAATTAGGGGAAGAAATAAGCAGTTGAAAAAAGAGATAGACTGGAATGCGTTATCACTATCTCATTTTAGATTCTTGAACAAATAAATATGAACATGAGGTACAAAAGATTTTGTCACGACCCAATTTCCCCTCCATTGGGTTTCGTGATGGCACCTAGTCTTAAGGACTAGGTAAGCCTAATAGTTATTGAAAACAACCATAATAAAGAAAGTCTAACAGTCTCAATATAGAAATCTTCACAAAACTTACACATTCTCAAAACCGGTAGTACAAGTCATAAGCTCTACAGAGTTTTGCTACAACGTCTAATGCTACTGTATGGAAATAAGTACAACAGTGTGGATACAAAATAGGAAGGGGACTCCGAAGCCTGCGAACACAACATCAGGGTTACCTTGAATCTCCTCGGTAAGAATCCGCACAACTACTAACGAACAATACCTGGATCTGCACAAAAATATGCAAAAGTATAGTATGAGCATACCACAGCGGTGCCTAGTAAGTATCAAGACTAACCTCGATGGAGTAGTGATGAGGAACAGTCAAGACACCTACTGGTCTAATAAATTGAACAAGTATAAGTATAGAAGCAACAGAACATGACATCTATATAAAGACTATGCGATGCGGCTAGCAATGCAGTAATTGCAATAAGGAAAGAAAATAGCAAGTAACAGCGGAACATCATAATAAGAAGAATGAATGGAAATATAACCCAAATCCGAATCCGAACGCAGTAAAGGCAAGTCATAATTTAGCAACTACGACAGTTTTCACATTAGGTCTTAGCCAACAAACTCCAATCAATTAATCAAATCCTTCAAGTGATAAAAATATCTTGAAATATATTTTCTTCAAATAAATATTTTTCAAAGATAGTTCTTTCAAAATAAATACCTTTCGAATATAATTTTTTCGAATAAATATCCTTCGATTATAAATCAACCTGTGACACCTCATCTCATAATCATACAATACGGGTCTCAATACCTGAACCCTAACACTTGGCATCTTGTGCCCTCATCACACCTCAAAATCGTACTGACAACTCACATGCCAAATAGAGCCATTCTCACTTGGAAGGCAAATAAACAAGGGTGTGTGTCTATACTCAGCAATATCAAGAAGCCTCTTATCCGATAAGGGTGCTTAGCCACGTGTATGCTTATACAAGTGTCCTAACATAGTTCATACCAGCAAGTAAGCATAAGGAAAAGAATGGACAACACGTAGAATGTTTACGCAAGGATATGATCAATGAAATGCACAGCTTAGAACACAATGATAATAATAGGGGATCTCCCAAGATACTGTCCCGTATTCCCAAATGTAAATGTGCAGGGGGATATACCAGAATATCGTTCCGTAGTCCCAAAGTAAATATGCAGAACAGGGGGATCTACCGGGATACCGTCCCATAGTCCCAAACGTAAATGTGCAGGGATCTATCGGGATATTGTTCCGTAGTCCCAAAGTAAATATGCAGAACAGAGGGATCTACTGGGATACCGTCCCATAGTCCCAAACAAAAATGTGCAGGGGATCTACCGGAATATCGTTTCGTAGTCTCAAAGTAAATATGCAGAACATGGGGATCTATCGGGTTACCGTCCCGTAGCCCCAAAGTAAGTATACAGCGTAACCAATAGAAATAACAGTTACAACACGGCAGAAACCTCGTACATCACCACAGTAAGTGCAACAACAAAAATGACAATAATACAAAGTACGACGAGTAAATCAACTCAAGAACTTTAAATCATAAAGAAACGGTAGAATCAGTTTACAAGGAATAACCACAGTAAAGAATACTAGGAAAGGGAACAGTTCAACTACGGAAGACAACTATATAGCAACGATCCCACAATATACAAGTCAACAATAAGGAAGTCACACGAGTCCAATAGTCCTAAATAAAGGCAAGTCAACTGAGATATAGGTTGTCTAAAATCCTTTTAAGGTTGAGCAATTTGCGAAAGATATTCAATAATTCAAATAATGATAGGCAACATAAGATAATCATATCTCCAATTAAGACTAAATAATTATAGGATGAGATAGTAATAATTTCAATTAAAGGTAAACAGTTGTGAAAAGATAGCATGACGATAAAAGAGGCAAAATCTCTAGTTAAGTCAAATAAGTATCAAATAGGCAATAAGAGTGAATCCCAAGGCAATTAATTCTAATTGAAGCATGTATAAGTGAAACCAATAAATAGGAACTCAAACGTATCACGAACAACTTCATACATAGTGAATATAAGGACCTAAGAATCCTAATGGCCAACTTCCACAAATAAGTATGAGCACGCACTCGTTACCTCGCGTACACGGACTATAATTAACATAGAAGACTCAAATCCTAAAGGGAAGTCCCCCACATAAGGTTAGGCAGGATACTTATCTCATTTTGCAACCAAATTCAAGATTTCAATAAACCTTCACCTCGCGAATTTGTGTCCGAAAGCTTCAAATATAGTCACAAATAATTCAATATACTCAATACGAATCGTAGGAATTAGTTCCATATGAAATTACTAATATTCCGGATTAAAATCCAAAATTCATTTAAAAATTGACAGCGGGAACCACGTTTCGAATCCCAAAAAACTCACGAAATTCGAACACCTGTTCCGATACAAGTTCAACCGTACAAAAAATTATTGAATTCTGACATCGGATTGTCTTTGAAATCTTCAATTAAAGTCTTTGAAGATTTCTACCATTTTCAACCCAATCTTTACTCATTTGAACTCAACAATCTTCCAACAAACCTTATTTGTACATATATGTATTCATAATACTCTTCTACCCAAGAATCATACTCCTAATCACCCATCTTTACCCCTCCAAAGTCGAAATTAAAGACTAGGGTATGAAATCTTTACCTCTTAGATGAAGATCCTGTGATTGGGTTGCTTGATTCTTGAAGGTTAATGCAAGATTGGATGATTTGAATATTGGGTTTCCTTTTTCTCTCTCTAAAAATCTCTCACCTCTTTCTAGAATGCTCAGAAAATCACCCGAACATAAACTCCAAAGCCTATTTATCAAAATAGGGCCGGGTTATGAAAGTAGGAGAATGAAGCCTCCAAAACTAGGTCTGCTATTGTAGAATGCATCACACAATAGCTATGCAGGTCGCAGAATGGATCGGAAAATAGGTGCCAAGAATTGGGCTACACTGGGCCATTCTGCGACCATTTTGCGATCGCAGAATGATTTTGCGGTCGCACAATTGGCCGCAGAATTGCATTTTTCGAGCTTTTGGCAATTTGATAATAACTTTGTGTAGGAGTGTCCAAATGAAAAAGGGTTTGAAGCGTTGGAAACTAGACTAAAATCTCTTTCATTTGATAGGTTGTGCATGATATAACACCTTATATATATGTAGATATGCTCGTCCAAAGTGTGGTCTTGTGCGTACTCATTCAAAATTTTAGACTATCATATAATTTTCCAACTTGGCTTAGACTTAGGTCTTTTCTTAGATCCCATATCTCTTATAATATGCCTTGTATACTTATTATCATATCCAATTGATATCCATCATATTATTAGTCCTTGTCCGCACATAAAATAATATAATTAGAACACGTCAACTTTCTAATTTCGCCAAAATGCGCCGAATTGTTCTACGGATTTCCAACCCCAATTCCGGACATACGCCTAAGTCCGAAATTATTATAAGATGCTATTGACATCATTAAAATTCCATTCTGAGGTCTTTTGCTCAAAAGTCAACTCTCCGGTCAATTCTTTCCATTTAAGTTTCAAAATGAGAATTTTTTTCTTTAAATTTTAACTCTGAATCTTACGAAAACCAAACTCGACCACACGTGCGGATCATAATGCATATTACGAAGCTGCTCGAGGCCTTTAGTCGCTGAACGAGGTGTAAATTCTTAAAATGACAAGTCGAGTCGTTATAGATTTGTAAAATATTACAAATCAACTGCCATATGAATTAATTGACCCACCAAGGATGACTAAGTTACATATTCCAGCTGCTAATGCTCATATTCAAATTTATGTCCCGGTTGGACAATCTATAAATGTAAATGAGTCTAAGCTATGCTTGAAATATGGTCGACTAATCGGTTCCAGAGATAAAAATCCTCGAAGAGAAAAAGAGACAGAACAAAGCATATTTCACTAAAGTTCTTTTTCACGTATGATCTTCAAAAGAATGGTAAGATAGATGTTTAACAACTCCAATCAAGAGATATTCTGGCAGATTTATTTATTAAGGCATTGCCAACATCAACACTTGAGAAGCTCTCATAAAATTGGAATGCATCATCTCCGAGATATCAAATAAAGTTTTCATCAAAGGGAGTATAATACACGTTGTACTCTTTTTTCCTTAACTAGAATTTTATCTCTATTGGGTTTTTCTAGTAAGGTTTTTAATGAGGTAACACTCAATGCGTATTACAAGATATGTGTATTCTTTTTTCTTCATTAAACTTTTTTTCACTGGATTTTTCCTAGTAAAATTTAATGAGGCACATAATTTTTTAAATGGATATCAAAGGAGGAGTGTTATGAATACGATGAATTAAAGTGGCTATCCATTTAATTCCTACATCACATACATGAATTACTTGTATTCATATGTATCTATTTAATATGTAACTTCATTCTTTATTTTTGAGGATGAACCTTTGTAACTATAAATAGAGCACTTTTGGCTAATGGATTACATACTTGAAATGAGAAGAAAGTTCTCTCTTCCACTCTGACATCTATTATCTATTTTATATTTCATATTGTCACTTTGAGCTTAATTTGTTAAAAGAATCATTTTTGTTATTTTTAGCATCCCATTTTCTATGGCCCCACCCCAACCCATGAGCAAATATGGAACGCCAATCAGCAGCCATGAACACCAGACACGTGTTGGCCCAAACGATTAAACCAAATCCTTCCGTTCACTCCTTCACCTTTTCGTTAATTCCAAATTCTTCCTGAAAGAATTACCAAAAATCAGCAAATTATAGTGGGAAAGAAAGAGTTAAATTTCTACTACACATTTTCATGATTATTCTCATTTTCTTTCTCTCTGCTCAGCAGAGAAATAGGAAATATTTAACCATCTTTCCCACTGTTTTGGAGCTTCTGCTAATGATATCTGATTAGCGGTAATATTATTATCTTTCCTTCCTTCTTCATATATTTATCATTTTTTATTACTAAAAATTGGACTTTTTTGTTTGAATTATCGTCTACATGCAAAACTCTGTTGGGTAATTTATAGATATGCTTCTAACTTCCTTAGATCGGTCTGCCATTATTCTTTCTATTTTGGTGATGACATGGTATGAAGAGTGACTTCACTTTTAAAAAAAGAAGTGGTAGAACTGGTGCTGTAGCCAATGAATCTGATTTTCTAATTATTATCACAGATAGTCTGACTCAGAGGTGGATTGAGGATTTAACTTGGATGGGCTCGACCTTTTAATATTCTTAGCATGGACTTTTGAAATTATGAGTTCACAAGTTAATATTTGTTGAAATATTAGTGATTATTCATACCGTGTCAAAACACTAGGTTCGATTGAACTCATAGCTAATATGCTACATCAACCACTGGTCTGTCTATTTGATATTACTCGATTTCAGCGCTAATGATGAAAATCAACAAATACATTCCAAAAGAATCTGATATTGATATGCTATAACTAAAGTAAGGGAATTGTATTTTGGGACCTTACCTTAACAAGTGAATTTCTGATTCCTTTTTTGTTATGGTGAATTGGTATTGTGCATCGAATTACTTGTGCTCTACATGTTACATTTCTGTTTAACAATAACATAAATGCTAGTTATGGTATTTTCTTAATTTGAATCTTTTCATTTCAGAAAGTTGGTTCAGGAATGGAAATTATATCTTGCCATTCTACATCATTTTATTACGTTGTAAACATTAGAGGGAAAGCAACGGGTAAATGTCCAGGTTCAAATCAGGCAAGTTTTCCCATATTAAAAGAGGAAAGGATGTGTTATGTTCTGTTTAAGCCTTCTCCGGGAGCGCTCAGGTATTCTGGTGCAGATCAGTTTTGCATAAAGAGACCAAATCGGAGCAGAATTTGTTGCCCTATCAATGCATTCAAGGAATTTGAGAATTTTGATTCAAGTGCCTTGGGTAAAAGTTATAACTCTTATGTAGTTGATGGAAAAGAGGGTAAGCAAAACGTGACTGGTGTTGGCAAATCAGTACCCAAGGTTATCATTCCTGGTTTGCCAGATGAAGATAATAAAGGTGATTTTGGTGCTCCCATTAGCAGTTGGTTTTGGGAATGGAAGCCAAAATTGAATGTTCATTATGAGAAATCAGGTTGCGAAAATGTTAATTCCCCGCCGGTGCTTTTTCTTCCTGGTTTTGGTGTTGGTTCCTTTCACTATGAAAAACAGCTAAAGGATCTTGGCCGTGATCACAGAATATGGGCAATAGATTTTCTCGGTCAGGGGAAGTCATTACCATGTGAAGATCTGACCTCGACGTCCAAGGAACAACTTGACGGAGATGTGTGGGGCTTTGGAGAAGAAGCAAAACCCTGGGCAAAAGAACTTGTCTACTCTATCGACTTATGGAAGGAGCAAGTGCACTATTTCATTGAAGAGGTAGTACTTTGTGTCTTTATATTTTCACTTTTTACTTAGAATTAGAATTTGTTGGAATGGATTTGTTTCTTTGATGTTTAAATTTGGTGCACTTTTCCAGTAATTTTTTGTTACAAATTCAACGAGTTTTCCCAGGTCTTAACTGACCAAGAAAAGAAAATCCCAGCTCTTAAACACTGATCAATTTTGTTAAGTAGGATTCCATTTTCATGTATCACGTTATGTCTTCTTCCTGATGCAGTAGACAATTGAATGATAATATGTGCCAGGCTATCTTCCATGGCACTAGTCTCTCTCTCTCTCTCTCTCTC